AGGAGGAAGGAGGAGGAGGAGGAGGAGGAGGAGGAGGAGGAGAGGACAGGCGAGGGGGGGGGGGAGGGGCGAGAGATTCGAAGGGGGACGAAGAGAGAGAGAGAGAGAGAGAGAGAGAGAGAGAGACGATAGAGAGAGAGAGAGAGAGAGAGAGAGAGAGAGAGGGAGAGAGAGAGGAAGAGAGAGAGAGAGAGAGAGAGGAGAGAGAGAGAGAGAGAGAGAGAGAGAGAGAGAGGGAGAGAGAAGAGGAGGAGGAGGAGGAGGATCTTATAAGGGAAGAAAGCTAGGATATGGCGGGGAATATGATGATGAGGAGGATGAGGGGATGAGGAGGAGGAGTGGAATGATGAGGAGGAGGAGGAGAAGGAGGAGGAGGAGGAGGAGGAGAAAGAGAACGAGACTGCGAAGGAGGGGCAGCAGCAGCAGCACAAGCAGCACCAGCAGAAGGACGAAGAACACGAATAGGAGGATACGGATGAGCAGCCGCAGCAGCAGCAGCATCGGCAATAGCAGCAGCATGTGGCCTGATGCTGCTGCCGTCCGCAGGCACTGGCGCGCGGACGCCGCTGATCGCTGGCGCGGGGGCCGCCGCCGCTGCCGCGGCCAAGCGCTTGGCCTCCTTGGCTTTGCTTGCTGCCCGCAAGGCCGCCTTGGCCCGCTTGACGTTCTCGCCCGAATCCTCCGAGGCGGCAGACGCGTCGCTGTCGATGCCAATGCCAGTGCCCCAGCCCTCTCGAAGCTCCTGCGCGGTCCTGGCGGCCGAGCTCTGGCGCTGAGCGGCCTTGCCGCTGTCGCGGTGTCCAGCTTGCGGGCTTACTTCCATGCTCGTCTTGCCTGCGACACGCCTCGAGATCTTCGGCGGCGGCGGCGGCTGGCTCTCGCTCTGAGGCCTCGAGCGCTCGGCGCGCGCTGGGCTCGCCGAGCGCTGCGTGGGCGGCGGCGAGCTCGGCGAGCGCGCCCGCGAGCTCGCAGCTCCTGGGCTCCTCGAGCGCTCGGGCGGCTGGCTCGAGCGCGCAGTCCGCGGGCTCCTCGCAGCGAACGCTGCCTGCTTGGCCAGCGCGGCATGCTTGCGTTCTGCTCGGCTCGAGCTCCTCGGCGCTGCTGACGAGCTCCTCTGCTGGCTGCTGCGAGCTGGCGGGCCGCGAGCTGGCGGGCCGCGAGCTGGCGGGCCGCGGGCTGGCGAGCTCGAGCCTGGCGCCGCTGGCGGGCGCCGCTGCGAGCGCCTCGGCTCCGCTGGCGGGCTGGGCGAGCTTCTCGGCGCAGGCGGCTGGCCCCTTGAGCGCCTGACGCGCTCTGGCGAGCTACTCGGCGACCTCCTCCTGCGCCCCTCGCGCGCTGGCGGCGGCGACAGGCTCGAGCCGCTGCTCGCCAAGCGCCTCTGGCGCTTGATGCGCTGCGGTGGCTGTCCATCGTCAGCTGCGGGCGGCGGCCCCTCGTCAGATGGAAGCCGCGGCGCTGCTGGCGATCGCCCCTCGGCCGCGGCCGCTCGGCCAGCAGCGACTTCAGGGCTGTCCTCGACATGGATCGGGGAGGCGCCTGCAACGCCATCATCTGCAGGAGGAGGATGCTCTGATCCAGGCGAGGGGCCGCCGTCACTCATGCGCTTCGCCAGCAGCTCGTCCTCTTTCTCCTCACGGGGGGGAAGAGGGAGGGCGAGGGCGAGAAGGGGGAGGGGGAGAGGAATGGGGAGAAGGAGGAGGACAAGGACAAGGAGGACGATAAGGATAAGGAGAAGGAGGATGCGGCGGTGGAGGACAATGAGGAGGGAGTGGAGGGATGGGAGGGGGAGAAGAAGAAGGAGAAGGAGGAGAAGGAGGAGGAGGAGGAGGAACATGATGATGCTGATGATGATGATGATGATGCTGATGCTGATGATGATGATGATGCTGATGATGATGATGATGGGGATGATGACTCTGATGCTGATGATGATGATGATGCTGATGATGATGATGATGATGATGATGCGGAGGAGGAGGAGGATGAAGAGGAGGAGGAGCTAGGAGGAGAAGGAGAAGGAGAAGGAGAAGGAGAAGGGGGAGGAGGAGGAGAAGGCGGAGGAGACGGAGGATCGAACGAGCGAGGAGGGAGGACGAGAAATGTGACCAAGAGGGGTCAGCAGGATATGGAGACGGAGGAGGAGGGAAGGAGGAGGGATGCCTTCGTTCACCCAGGAGTGGAGGAGGAGAGGAGGAGGACTGAGGAGGAGGACATTTAAGGATGAGAAGCGGGAGAACGAGGAGGGGTTGGAGGAGGAGGAGGAGGAGGATGAAGGAGGAGGAGGAGGAGGGGGGGGGACGGAGGAGGAGGAAAAGACTGACAGGAGACAGGGATAGTCAGTCTTGTTTTCTTTGACCTCAGCCTCCTCCTCCTCCTCCTCCTCCTCCTCCACCTCATCCTCTCTTCCTTCTCCTCCTCCTCCTACTCCTCCTTCTCCGTCCTCCTCATCCTCATCTTCTTGTCGTCCTCATTCTTCTCCGTGCGTGGGTGTCCACCTTCTCCTCATCCTCCTCATTCTTCTCCTCCTCCCCCCCCTCGTCCGCCCCCTTCGCTCCCATCTACACTAGCGGGCGCGCTCCTTCGCGATGCGATCGAGCTCGTTCTGCTGGTCCTCCAAGCTGGCGCCCTCCATGTTCTCCACCAGCTCGTTGGAGAGGCCTGGCATGCGGCGTGGGGGGTGATGCCGACCGCGCGGGGGAGGCGATGTGAGGAGCAGGAGGGGGAGGGGAAGGGAACGAGGGAGAGAGGGAAGAGGGGGGAAGCGGGAGTGAGGAGGAGGAGGAGGAGGATGAGGAGGAGAGACGAAGAGGGAGCGGAAACATTGAGAAGGAGGATGGGCAGCAGTAGAGGGAGGGAAGCCCCTCTCCCTCCTCATCCTTATCCTCATCCTCCTCCATCCTGTTCTCATTCCTCCCAGTGTTCCCCCTTCTTTGCACTCCACAACCTCATCGCCCATCCCACTCCTCCTCCTCTGTTCGTCCTCCTCATCCTCATCGTCATACTCGTCCTCCCCGCACTTGCCCTGTTCACCTTTGGTAATCCTCTCCTCGTCGTTCTCCCTACCTCGCTCCTCTTCCCCCGTTCCCTCCTCTCTCTATCTAGATTTATTGGTGTTCTCTCTCTCTCTCTCTCTCTCTCTCTCTCTCTCTCTCTCTCTCTCTCGGTCTCTCCTCTCTTTCTGGTCTCACGCTCATCCGATGTAACTCTTTGAAGGGGAACTGGGACACACGCATAAATACACACACCTAAACATATCCCCCACATGTTCCCATATTTACTGTTTTTTGTCTTCCCCCCACTTCCCATATTTTCCCATATTTTCTGGGAATCGCAGATTAATTGTGTCTGTGTATTGTTATCCCTCCTGACTGTTTATCTGTCAATCGCTCGTTGTTGTGTTGTTGCCTCCCTCTCGATTTCTCTCTTGTATTTCAGTGGCCGTGCCGCATGGATGCGGCTGTCACGAGCTGCTCGGGTCTCTGGCGCGAGCAGCTCAATTGAAAATGATCGACTCCAATCCCGCGAGGGTCCCGAACCTGCTCATCAAGCCGTCCGGTGGCGGCGCCAGCTGCGGCGCGTGCACGTCCTGCGGCTCCTCGGACTCCTCTGGCGCGACTGCGGTTGCTGGCTTCTTGGCGACGGCGGCAGCTGGGCGCTTCTTCGCTGGAACTTCTGGCTCTTCCTCTTCCACCTCCTCGTCCTCTTGCTTGTCCGAGCTCTCCGCGCCCTCTGCGCCACCATCGCGTCCGTCTTCACCGTGGTCATCCTCATCGCCTCCTTCGTCATCATCACTACCGCCTCCGTCGCCTCCATCAGCAGCGCTGCCGCTGGCCCTGGCACGATCATCACGCCGCGCACGTTTCGCGGGAGGTCCCGAGACGTCGTCGGCTTCGACAGGCTCCTGGGCAGCAGGCTTCTTGAACACGCCGCCCTTCTTGGTGAGATCCACGCCGAGGGATGCCAGAAACGAAGTCCTCTTGTCCTTCAACTGCTGCTCAGTGATCTTGCCCGCTAGCAACTTGGCCGCCGTTGCGTTCATCCACTCAGCTGCCGTCAGCTCGTCGACGTGCTTGAACGCCAACTGAAGTTTTTGCGCCCCGTTCAGCTTGATCACCAGGCCGTGCTCGACGGGCCCCCCTTTGGTGCTGCTCAGGCCCTTGCGTTCCACCTTGACCTTGCCGATCTTCGAGCTCCCCTGGAAGCACTCGTACAGCTTGTCTTCCGCCGAAGCCGCCCTCTTCGCCCCGCTGGAACCACTCTCGCCCGCTGCGTTCTGCGAAAGCCAGCCCGCCACCGTCAAAGTGGGCAGTTCCGCGACGAAGCCGTCAGGCCACTCCGCGTGCATGAAGCCACTGAGGTCGGCCTCGTCGATCGCGAAGAGCTTCCTCGTGGGCTCCGACGCCTTGGAGCCGAGCTTGGCGCGGTGGGCTGTGCGCTGCACCGCGTCGTACGCGATGACGTACTGCTGCGACGACTTCGACGAAGGCGATGCTGACTTAGTCCGAGAGCGGGCACCCCTGGCGGCTATTGGCGAAGGCGATGGTGAAGCTGACTGGCCCTCGCGTAGCTGCTTCAGCCACTTCGGTGGAGCAGCCGACTCTCTCTCCTTTCTCAAGGGGTCGTACAAGTGGCGCGTCATCGATCGCAGCCTGTCGGCAGGAGCGTGGAGCTGGAGAATGGGGATCAGGGAGGGGGAGTTCGGGGGGAAGGCGGGGATGACTCAAGGGAGGGAAGGGAGGCAGGCGGAGGGGGAGCGGGAGGACACGGAGATGAGGGAGGGAGAGTGCAGGAGGGGAAGGCCTTTGGGTTGGTTAATCCTCATGGGGAGCTCGGCCACAAGATGCCGCCCACGAGAAAACCGCTCCTGGAGGAGGCCGACGTTTTCCAAAGTGAAACCCTCGAGCCCCAAGAAACAACACCATGTTGGCGTTTTGTGGCATACCCCCTCCTCCCGCTACTGAAATTGAGAGCCCGCTCCACATTGCGGACATGTGGTCGGCCCACTGATCCCTCTTCTCCTGGCTCCAGTCCTCCCACGCCTGAATGCGCTCCGAGATCAGGATGAACGCTCGCCTCGCCGTCTCGGGGGCGATCGCGAGGTTTGGAGTCACCAGCTCCAGAGCGCAGATCATCTGCAGATGTAATCCTTCATCCGAACTCTTGCTGCGCGTCGGTCGAGGCCGCGGTGCCGTCCCCGCCCCGACCGACGCAGCAAGACCAGGAGAAGGATTACAGCTGCGCGGTCCTTCCAGTGCTTCTTCACGCGGTTGAGCGCCTCCGAGTCGAACGCGTCCTGGCCAGGCGCCGCCCCATATTCAAGCCACTTGGGCCCAGTGACGAACGGCTGAAGAGCGTCCGCCACCGCGGCGTGGTCGCGGCACAGCTGCCGAGACATCTCGGCCAGAGCCAAAATGGCTATACACGGACGAATTGGGGGAGAGCGAGGGAAGACCAAGTTGAGCGGGAAGGGGAAGTATAAGATGCATACCGTGGAATGGAGGAGGCGTTTGGAGGAGGAGGAGGAGGAGGAGGAGGCAGGAGGAGGAGGAGGAGGGCGAGGGGGAGATGGGGAGGAGGAGTAGGAATAGGAGTGGTAGGAGGGATGAAGGTTCGCCTCAAGTTAAAGACGGTTTCACTTACCTTCACGCCCTCGCGAGGCCTCCTTGGGCTCATGGGCCCAGGCCGCGATTCGCGAGGCGCGTTTATCATCGCGACGTCGGTGATATCCCAGCTCAACTGGTTTCTTTATGATGGTTTCTTGTTGTTGATGCTTCATCTGTTTTTTTTATCTATCTCTCTCTCTCTCTCTCTCTCTCTCTCTCTCTCTCTCTCTCTCTCTCTCTCTCTCTCTCCCTCTCCCTCTCCCTCCCCCTCTCCCTCCCACCATCTCTCTCCCCTCTCCCTCCCTCCCTCCCTCCCTCCCTCCCATCATCCTCCCTCCCTCTTTTCTCGTCCCTCGATCCCTCCTCTCCTAACTCCTTCCTCCAGCCTCCTTCCCTCCTCCTCCTCCCTCCTCCCTCATCCTTCCCGCCCCGCGGCTGCAGGCCTGCAGCAGCCATCGCCGCGGGCATCGTCTGCTCCGCCTCGGTGTCGCTGCAGCTGCCGACGCCGTCGGCCAGGGCGGACCGCGGCATCCGGCCCCCAGACACGAGGCCACAGCAAAGGAGGCGCACAATTTCCCCTCCCCATTCGATCCCCCGAGGGCGAAGGGTTCCAAAAAACAACGGCCGCGAGGGCCGCGAGGGCCTCCAGGAACAATGGCCACCAGGACCCGAACAAATCACGGCCAGAAAAAACAGCGGCCTCCTTCTCCTCCTCTCCTCTCCTCCCTCTCCTCCTTTTCCTCCTCCTCCTCCTTCTCCTCCTCCTCCCTCCTCCTCGTCCTCCTCCTCCTCTTCCTCCTCCTCCGTCCTGTCCTCCTCCTCCTTCTCCCTTCCTCCTCTTCCTCCTCCTCCTCCTCCTCCTCCTCCTCCCCCCTCCTCCTCCTCCTTCTCGTCCGTGCTCCTCCTCATCCTCCTCCTTGCCCCCCCCCTCCCCTCCTCTTCCTCTTGCCTTGGGCGAAATGGCGCACCTCCTTTGCAGTGGCCAAGCGGTCTCCCTCAAGACCCTGGGCGGGCGCAAGGGGGGCAAGCTCCTGAACGGCTCGAGCACGGGCGGGGAACGCCGCGGCGCGCGAGACGCACGCACAAGGCATTTCCTGACACCTCCCGTACTTAGCAAGCCTGCGCTCCGACCCAAGGCTTTTTCTCAAAATGTGGCTCTCGCTCGTGTAGATCACCTTTTTTTCACTGACCTATCTTCTTTACAATACACGCGCATGGAGGGCGGCATTATTTGAAAACGGGGCGTTACGTGTGCAATCATGTGGGCTTATTTTTTGTGGTTATGATAAAACGCTGTCTATGTGCGTACACCTATATAGTTTTATATATGTATATATTTATGTGTATATATATGCACATGCATATACATGTGTGCATACTAACACTATAGTTACCTAACAGCGAAGACTGATAGGTTTCTAGTGGTCTTAAAAGAGAGCAGCAGATGACTCCACAGGGGGGTCTGGGCGGGTGCCGGACAGGGTGCCGCAGAAGTCGTTTTAAGCAAACAGTCACACACTTCGTGCTCTTCGACCTCCCAGAACTCCATTCCCGGGCCACATTCTGAATGCCCGGAGCCAACTGTAGGCCACTTCGTGCTCTTCGACTTCCCAGAACTCCATTCCCGGGCCACATTTTGAATGCCCGGAGCCAACTGTAGGCCACTTCGTGGTCTTCGAGTCCCCAGAACTCCATTCCCGGGCCACATTTTGAATGCCCGGAGCCAACTGTAGGCCACTTCGTGCTCTTCGAGTTCCCAGAACTCCATTCCCGGGCCACATTTTGAATGCCCGGAGCCAACTGTAGGCCACTTCGTGCTCTTCGAGTTCCCAGAACTCCATTCCTGGGCCACATTTTGAATGCTGAGGCAGTGCTGACTGCTGGGCGGAATGCTGAGGCAGGCTGATGCTGGGTGAGGCAGGCTGAGGCTGAGGCAGGCTGAGGCTGAGGCCGAGGCTGAAGGCAGACTGAGGCTGAGGCTGAAGCAGACTGAGGCCGAGGCTGAGGCAGGCTGAGGCTGAGGCTGAGGCAGGCTGATGCTGAGGCAGGCTGAGGCTGAGGCTGAGGCTGATGCAGGCTGAGGCTGAGGCAGGCTGAGGCTGAGGCCGAGGCTGAAGGCAGACTGAGGCTGAGGCTGAAGCAGGCTGAGGCTGAGGCTGAGGCAGGCTGAGGCTGAGGCAGGCTGAGGCTGAGGCTGAGGCAGGCTGAGGCTGAGGCTGTGACTGCGACTGCCGTTGCCGCTGCGACTGTCATCGCGAATGCGACTACGACTGCGAGAACAGCAGAATTCTACAACTGGATTTTCATCTGAATCTTAAGGGGAATGCTTTCAGATATGCTTCTACACATCGCTGTTAGGTTGCTTTGCCGGGATACTATTTATTTATGCGTATATATGAATGTGGAAATATCTGTATATACATACATACAAAACATACATATACATATACATATTTAGATACGTGCATGTATGCATGTATATAAGTATGCTCGTATATATATGTATGTGTGTATACATGTACATATGTATATATATATATAAACACATATATGTGTCCATATACGTATTCATATGAATATATATATATATACGCACAATACGTAGCATGTGCACGAGTGTTCGAGTGTTGGAGTGCTCGAGTGTTGGATGAGTGTTTGAATGTTTGAGTGATTGAGTGTTGCATGGCGTGTATGCTCGCTGTTTTGAGTGTTGGTGTGCTTCGTCGAGTGTTGGCTTGTTTCGTTGAGTGTTCGGTCGGCATCGCCCACTTGTACAAGTGTTCGAGCCCAAGTGTTCAAGTGTTCGCGGGCTAACCGAGCAAGCCGTGGACCTCTGGGCTGAGGCTGTGACTGCGACTGCCGTTGCCGCTGCGACTGTCATCGCGAATGCGACTACGACTGCGAGAACAGCAGAATTCTACAACTGGATTTTACCTAACAGCGAAGACTGATAGGTTTCTAGTTGACTCAAAAGAGCTCACAGATCACTCCACAGGGGGGTCCGGGCGGGTGCCGGACAGGGTGCCGCAGAAGTCGTTTTAAGCTAACAGTCGCACACTTCGTGCTCTTCGACCTCCCAGAACTCCATTCCCGGGCCACATTCTGAATGCCCGGAGCCAACTGTAGGCCACTTCGTGCTCTTCGACTTCCCAGAACTCCATTCCCGGGCCACATTTTGAATGCCCGGAGCCAACTGTAGGCCACTTCGTGCTCTTCGAGTTCCCCAGAACTCCATTCCCGGGCCACATTTTGAATGCCCGGAGCCAACTGTAGGCCACTTCGTGCTCTTCGAGTTCCCAGAACTCCATTCCCGGGCCACATTTTGAATGCCCGGAGCCAACTCTAGGCCACTTCGTGCTCTTCGATTCCCCAGAACTCCATTCCCGGGCTACATTTTGGATGCCTGGAACCAACTGTAGGCCACTTCGTGCTCTTCAAGTTCCCAGAACTCCATTCCTGGGCATGATTTTGAATGCCCGGAGCCAACTGTAGGCCACTTCGTGTTCTTCTAGTTCCCAGAACTCCATTCCTGGGCCACATTTTGAATGCTGAGGCAGGCTGATGCTGCGGCCGAGGCAGGCTGAGGCTGAGGCAGGCTGAGGCTGAGGCCGAGGCTGAAGGCAGACTGAGGCTGAGGCTGAAGCAGACTGAGGCTGAGGCTGAGGCAGGCTGAGGCTGAGGCTGAAGCAGGCTGATGCTGAGGCAGGCTGAGGCTGAGGCTGAGGCTGATGAGGCAGGCTGAGGCTGAGGCTGAGGCTGAGGAGGCAGGCTGAGGCTGAGGCTGAGGCTGAGGCAGGCTGAGGCTGAGGCAGGCTGAGGCTGAGGCTGAGGCTGAGGCAGGCTGAGGCTGAGGCTGAGGCAGGCTGAGGCTGAGGCTGTGACTGCGACTGCCGTTGCCGCTGCGACTGTCATCGCGAATGCGACTACGACTGCGAGAACAGCAGAATTCTACAACTGGATCTTCATCTGAATCTTAAGGGGAATGCTTTCAGATATGCTTCTACACATCGCTGTTAGGTTGCTTTGCCGGGATAATCATCTGAATCTTAAGGGGAATGCTTTCAGATATGCTTCTACACATCGCTGTTAGGTTGCTTTGCCGGGATAATTTGTTTTGTTTTGTTACCTAACAGCTTGTTCTGATAGGTTTCTAATGGTGTCAAAAGAGAGCAGCAGATGACTCCACAGGGGGGTCTGGGCGGGTGCCGGACAGGGTGCCGCAGAAGTCGCTTTAAGCCAACAGTCGCACACTTCGTGCTCTTCGACCTCCCAGAACTCCATTCCCGGGCCACATTCTGAATGCCCGGAGCCAACTGTAGGCCACTTCGTGCTCTTCGACTTCCCAGAACTCCATTCCCGGGCCACATTTTGAATGCCCGGAGCCAACTGTAGGCCACTTCGTGGTCTTCGAGTCCCCAGAACTCCATTCCCGGGCCACATTTTGAATGCCCGGAGCCAACTGTAGGCCACTTCGTGCTCTTCGAGTTCCCAGAACTCCATTCCCGGGCCACATTTTGAATGCCCGGAGCCAACTGTAGGCCACTTCGTGCTCTTCGAGTTCCCAGAACTCCATTCCCGGGCCACATTTTGAATGCCCGTAGCCAACTGTAGGCAACTTCGTGCTCTTCGACTTCCCAGAACTCCCATTCCTGGGCCACATTTTCAGCAGGGGCAAGAGCACGACGAGGAGGAGGACGAGCAAGACCAGGAGGACGAGGACGAGCAGGAGCAGGACGAGGAGCAGGAGGAGCAGGAGAAGAAGGACGAGCAGGAGGAGGAGGAGGACGAGGGGGGGAGGAGACTGCCTGCCTTTTCGTCGAGATGCTGTTCGACCCAGAGATGCTCCTACACATGGCTGTTAGGTTGCTTTGCCGGGATATGTTTTTTTATTTGTTGTGTCCCACAGTTTCTTGTGTGATGTTTTTTTCGTGTGTTTTTGTGTGTGTGTTTTTCCCCACAGGTGTGTGTGTGTTTTTTCCACAGTGTGTGTGTGTGTGTTTTTTCCCACGCGATGCCAAAACTCGCGAGATCGCCGAAAGAGAGCACGGCGGATCCGCAGTCGGGGGATGCAGGGGCGGCCGGCGGAGCGGGCGCGACGTGGGCGCGCCGTGCCGCGAGCAGCGGGCGCGCCTCGCGGACCGGGCCGGCCACACCGCTCGCCCTCGCCCGGGCGTCCAGGCCCCGTGCACTCTGCGGCGTCGTGCGCGAGTTTGCTCACGAGGTGGCCCAAGATGCTGGGAGGAGGGAGGAGGGAGGAGGGAGGAGGGAGGAGGGAGGTCCTCGATGGTCCCTGCCCCAAAGGAGCGCACGCCCGAGCGATGCCAGGCAAGAGAAGGCGAGCCGACCCAGCACACACAGCATGCCACCAGGCTGCACCGTCGGAGGCGATCTCCGGCCCCGTCGACGCTGCCCGGGCACAAGAGGGACCTTCGCCACCCCGCAGCGCGCCAGCGCGTGCACGGCCGAGGCGGGCTTCAGGCCACCCCTGTTTGTCAATGGAGGAGCTGTTACATTGCTGCGCGCCCTTGCTCCAAACCGTCGGCTGCACAGAAAAACAGGCCGAGGCACGCCCATGCGAAACTTTTTTGTCGCGGCCGCAGGCGAGCGCGCCAGCGGCGTCAGAACCCATTCGAAACGCAAAGCGACAAAAAGTTCGGCAACGGCTCGCGCCGAGCCGCCACGGGCAAAACAAACTCAAGGTCCTACGGTGAGGGCATTGGATAAGGAACCGCTGGATCCATAAGGAATCCAGGGTCTGGAAGCCCGCGGAACTCCCATACAGGCTTGGCCTCTCCAGGAGGAGGAGGAGGAGGAGGAGGAGGAGGAGGAGGAGGAGGAGGAGGAGGAGGAGGAGGACATCACCACCGCCCTCATCGGATGAGGAGAGTCCTCCCGGGCCTGGCAGCCTCCAGGGCACACCCCTCCACGAACGCCCCGCGCCCTGCTGCCTGCGGGGGTCCTGCCTCGGCCTGCCCTGCGTTATGGGGGCCAGGCGGGCGGGCGCGGCCGTGCGGGCACGCTCCTCGAACCTCCCGGCGAAGCCGTGCAGCAGGCTCCCTGCGCGCGTCATCGCCCCGACGTGCTCGCAGAACTTCGGCGGCCACGGCCATCGTTACAAGTTATGAGGCCGCCAAGGATCGGCTGCACGCAAGAGTGCCCCTGCGTACGAGTGACCTTGTTGGTGCGCGACGGTCGGGGGGCCGCGGGGAGGCCAAACCCGGAGCGCGCAGGCCGCTGCTATCGCATCGAATCCAGCCGTCCGAGGACCACATTGAGCCTGCACCAGAGGTCACTCTGGCGAAGGGTCACTCTTACGTGCGATCGAAAGGACGAGCTCCTAAGACGCCATGCTGGGCGCTGGCGGACCAGACTCGCCGAGGGGCCCTCCTCCAGGCTCGCCGCCTGCAGCCGCCCGCCGCCCGCGACGCACACGTCGGCGAACACGCCTGCGCTCTCCGCCGCCTCTGTCGTCGACGCCCTCCGCGGCAATCTCGGAGTGCTGCCCACCGCCGCCACGGGCCGCCACCTCGGACACGCTCGTGTCTGCGACTTCAGGAAACTGGGTTCCACCATCGTTTACGGGGCGAAGAACGGTATCAAAAAAAACTGGTCCGCCGTTGGGGACGCCTGCCCCCCGGGCGGCTGGAAAGTTTACTTCCCCACGTTGCCCATTCTCAAGCCCCAGAATCGTGCCTGACGCGCTCGATGATGCTCTCGACTCGCTGGTGGTCGCCGTCATCTTCATCAAGGCATGCGGTCGGAGAGTGTTGCTTGGCGTGTCGCGGCGGCGGCCCCTGTGATACGCTATGCCCTGCAAGCGGACAACGCGCGGCTCCGCTCTCCGCGCGGCTCCGCTCGGACCGTGGACGCTCGAAAATGAGGAAGTGAGCGTGTCGCGCCGAAGCGCGGTGGGTCAGAACCGGCGGAACGACACGCTGAGTCAAAGCTCCTGACCGCACCAAGAGGCCATGGGGTCGCACATGACGCACCAACATCATGACGTCACAGCAACGTCGGTCAGCTTGGAAACCGAGAAAAATGTAGAACTCTGCGTACTGGGTGGCAGGTACCCGCCCTCGGAGATCGTGACCTCGTCTTGGTATATGTTCGCGCGCCACCGAAGCGACTTGCCCCGAGAGCACCGCAACTTTATACCGCGCCTTGGCTGCGGCACCCCTCCGGCCGCGCCACGCTGCGACGTGGCCGCGAGTATACAGGCCCCCTAAGCCCAGCAACATAAGCTACCGCTCCTCCGGCACGACTTCCTCGGCCCCCGCTTCGAAGAAAACGCGCAGGACCAATCACGCTGGCAGGCAGCGCCGCCCGTGCACACAGAGAAGCTTCGCCGGCAGCGCTCTGAGCGGCCCATCCTTCCACTCAGCAACCACACTCGGCTGCCATTTCGAGGACGGGGTGACTGTCGAATGCTCGACTCAGGCCCTCACCTTCGAAGAATCGAAACCCGAGATGGCCAATCAGGATGCTGCCGCCAATTCCTACGGTTAGGAACCTTTGCTTACCGTTTCGCGGCGGTGGCCTCTGCAACACGCTACGCCCTGCAAGCGGATAGCGTGCCGCTCCGCTCCGCGGGCCCGGAGGCTGCTGAGAACGGCTCGGGACGTTGACGCTCGGGGACGGGGGCGTGGGTAGCGTGTCGCGCCGAGACGTGGTGGGCCAGAACTGGCGGCGCGATACGCCCAGCCAACGTTCCCGACCGCATGCGGACGAGCGTGAGGACGAGGAGGGCAGCGAGGGTGCAAAAGACGCGGGCAGGAAACTGACACGTAGAGAAGGATGAGGTAGAGGCAGAGTTGAAAGAGGACGGGCGGGTGGAGAATCCGCCGACCCCCGCTTGCCGGGGGTGAGAAGGCGTGTGAGACTTTTGGCGCTGTCCCCCTCCCGCTCGCCGACGCACCCCTGGGGCCTTCGGAGCCAGTCAAGGCGCCAAGACAGTCGAAGAGAGCGTCATGACGGCCCAGGGCAGCCCCACGACGATCCAAGCTGGCTTCAAGATGGTCCACAAGGCTCCCAAGACAGCCCAAAAGCGCCTCCAGAGGATCGCCGAGAGGGCCCGAAGAGGCCGAAATCATCGCACTCCCTGGGAAAACGTACATGGTCACCATCCACAGCGAACACCGCGGCTCAAGTGGCCCCCAAGATCGTCCCAAGACGGCCCATGATGCCTCAAAAAAAAAACCCAAGACGGCCCAAGAAGGTCCAAACACAGCCCCAGGGGCTCCCCAAGACTGCCCAAGACAGCCCCTGGAGTGCCCCAATAGGGCTCCAAGAAAGCCCAAGAGGGGGAATACGAACTGACATTTCGAGCCTTTCCCACCAAGATGGCCCCTCGAGCCCCCCAGAGGCCCCGAAGGCCCCTCCAAGAGGCCCCAAGCCTCCAAGATGCCCCCGAGAAGCCCCCCACAGGCCTCCCAAAGCCTCACAGATGCCCCTACAAGCCCTCCAAGGCCCCCGAGAAGCACCCCAGGAGCCCCTCATATGCATCCAAGAACCTCCTGACCCAAGATATAACTTCCACGATCGTCTCAAACACTCACTCCTTGTGGGGGTCGGCGGAATGGCGTAAGCCACCTGAATCAGGACGTCCAGGAGCAAACATGTTAGTTGTTCAGACATGCCCTTAGACTAAGCTCCCACCACTCGCAAGCAAAGGTTTCAAAACATAAGCTACAGGGAGCCAGACTTCGTCCATTTCGAGGCGGAGGGCGGCGACGACGACGACGACGACGGCGACGGCGGCGACGACGACGACGGTTGGGGAGGAGAGAGGAGAGGAAGCAGGGCGAGGAAAAGGCCAACGCGGAGGAGAAAGGGGAGCAGGGACAACGTGAAGGATCGAGGAAGAGGACTGGGACGAGGCGGGGGAGGACGAGGGGAACGAGCATGACACCTCGTGGTTTCGCAGGCCCGTCCAGGGGCCGAGACGAGGACGTGCGCTGGGGCACGGCGGCCGAGCTCGGCAGCTCGAACCAGAGGCGTCGCCACAGCGAGCTGCGCGCGAGCCGAGCGGAGCGCGAGTCGGCCTGCTGCTGCTAGAGAAGGAAGGAGGAGGAGGAGGAGGAGGAGGAGGAGGAGGAGGAGGAGGAGGAGGAGGAGGAGGAGAAATGTGAGGATGGTCTTAGAGCAGCCCCGCCTTCTGCACCAGCGCGCGCCAATGCAGTTTGGCCTCGGCGGCGTCCGAAGGGGCGAATCGCAGCGAACACCGTGGTCTTAGACCTCTTCGGGGGGCACCTCATCTGGGCGAAAGTCGGCACGCCGTCCCCCCCCAAGAAACAGAAAAAGCAGGGGCACCAGCGTGGAATGGGGATTCCCCGCTGCAATGTCCCGGCGGAGAGCCCTGGGCAACGCGTCCTCCTTATCCTCCTTCTCCTCCTCCTCCTCCTCCTCCTCCTCCTCGTCCTCATCGGCCTCCTCCTCCTCCTCCTCCTCATCCTCCAGGCCCTCCATCTTCCTATCTTGCCGTTGGGTTTCCCCTTCCACGGGCAATTGCTCCTGAAACCCCCTGAAAAACGACCACTCCTGCATCCCCTTCCTCATCGTCGTCGTCCTCCTCCTGGCCGTCCTGCCCATCCTCCTCTTCCCGATCCCTCTCTTCATCCTCTTCCTCTTCCTCCTCCTCCTCCTTTTCCTCGTGCTCCTGCACCTCCTGCTCCTCGGGCGGTTGCGCCCGCGAGCGGGTTGAAATGTGTCCCCTGGTTGCGGCTGTGGTTGCGCCCGCGGTTGCGGTTGCGCCCGCGGGCAAATTGAAATGTGTCGCCTTGTTGCGGTTCTGGTTGCGCCCGCGGACGGGTTGAAATGTACCGTCTGTTTGCGTTTGCGGTTGCGCCCGCGGGCGGGTTGAAATGTGTCGCCTGCTTGCGGTTGCGGTTGCGC